ACCACTTCATATCTTCCCCCAGCCCCCCCGGGCCTCCCCAAACCACTTCATGTCTCCCCCCAGTTGCCCCCCCAGGTGTGCCCCCTCACCTGCCGTAGGGGTAGGGGATGGGGGGCTCACGGCGCTGCTCGATCTGGTGCAGCAGAGGGGTGAAGATGCGCCAGGCCTCACGCAGCTCGTCACTGGGGGAAGGGGAGACACCCCAAAACTGACCCGGGGGACCCCAAAACTCCCCCAAACCTCACCCGGGCTCACCTGGGCCCTCCCCAGGCTCACCTGGGCAATGCCAGAGCACACCTAGGCCCCCAAACTGGTCCCATCTTCTCCTCCAAACCGGTCCCACCTGTCCCCTCAAACTCACCCGACCCCTTTTTCCCCCCGCCCTAAACTGGTCCCATCTTCCCCCCCAAACTGGCCTCACCTGTCCTCCCCATGTCCCACCTGCCTCTGCTCAAACCAGTCCAATCTGCCCCTCCAAACTGGTCCCATCTTCCCCCCTCAAAATCCTGCCTGCCCCCCACAACCTGGCTTCACCTCCCCAAACGTCATCCCCCCCCCCCCCTCAGACTGGTCCCACCTGCCCCCCTAAACTGGTCTCAGTCACCCCCCCCAAACTGGCCTCACCTGTCCCCCCATGTCCCACCTGTCCCTCCCAGACTCTTCAGCTCCTCCAAACTGATCCTACCTGTACTGCCACCCCCACCCCCCCACGCTCATCTGTCACCTATGTCCCACCTGTGTCCTTCCCACCCCAAGTCCCACCTGCCCCCACCATGTCTCAACTGTCCCCAGGTAACACCTGTCCCTCTATCCCACCTATCTTCTGTCCCACCTGTCACCAGTCTCTGCATCCCACCTGTCCCACCTTGTCCCCACATCCCACTGTCCCCACCATGTCCCCCCTGTCCCCAGGTGTCCCCAGGTGTCAGCTGTCCCCTCTCACCTGCGCACAAAGTGCATTTGGTTCCCACAGATGACGTCCAGCAGCAGCCGCTCGTAGGCGTCCGGCAGCTTCACATCCTGGGGGGCACCGGGGTGGTCTGGGGGGGTCTGGGAGCACCCCAGGTGTGGGGGGACACCCCCAGATGTGGGGGGACACCTGGGCTTTGAGGGGACCCCAGGATTTGAGGATTTTGGGGGCTCTTCTGGGTATGAGGTGGCCCCAAGTGTGTGGAGAACACCCAGGATTTGGGGGGGACCCAGGTGGGTTTTGGGGGGGCTCAGGTGGGTTTGGGAACAGATCCAGGTGGGTTTTGGGGACCTCTCCAGGTGTGGAGAACCCCCTGAGGTGTGATGTCAACACCCCCAATTTTGGGGTCTCAATGTTCCAATTTTGGTCTCAGCACTCCAATTTTGTGTCTCAGTGTTGAGATTTCTGGGTTCCAGCCCCGTTTCTGGGTGTGCAAAGCACATTTTGGGTCTCAATGGTCCATTTTCATGTCCCCAACCCCCATTTTTGGATGCCAATCTTCAATCTTTGGGTCCCCAAACCCCATTTTTCTGTCCCCAAACCCCATTTTGAGTCTTGGTGCTCTATTTTCATGTCCCAAAACTCCATTTTTGGGTCCCCAAACCGTATTTTTGGGCCTCAGTGGTCCATTTTTGTATCCCCAAACCCCATTTCTGTGTCCCCATATCCCATTTTGTGTCCCCATCCCCATTCCTCTGTCCCCAAACCCCATTTTTGGGTCTCAATGCTCCATTCCCGTGTCCCCAAACCCCATTTTTGGGTATCAATGCTCTTTTCCCATGTCCCCATTCCTATTCCCATGTCTCTAAACCCCATTTCTGGGTCTCAATGCTCCATTTTTGTGTCCCCAAACACCATTTTTGGGTCTCAAACCCCATTTTTGGGTCTCAATTCTCCATTTTTGTGTCCCCAAACACCATTTTTGGGTCTCAAACCCCATTTTTGGGTCTCAATGCTCCATTTTTGTGTCCCCAAACATCATTTTTGGGTCTCAATGCTCCATTTTTGTGTCCCTAACCCCCATTTTTGGGTCTCAATGCTCCATTCCCGTGTCCCTGCCTGTTCTGGGTACCTTGTACCGGCTGCCGTAGGTGAGGTCAAGCTCAGACTCCTCGGGCCGCAGGAACATGCCGGGTTTCTTGGTGTTCAGTTTGGCGTAGACGGCCTCGCGCGGCTGCACCCGCACCACCAGCTCGTTGCGCTTGCACTGCTGCGCGAAGATGTCCCCGGGCACCTCCCGGAACTGCAGCCGCACCTCGGCCTTGCGCTCATTCAGCGCCTTCCCGCAGCGCAGCACGAAGGGGACACCTGGAGACAGGCATTGTCATTGTCACCATTGTCATCATCAAAGTCATCATTATGATCATTGTCATCATCGACATCATCATTGTCATCAACATCCGTCAACATCCATCAACATCATCACCATCCATGCCCATCCCAGCGCCTTCCCGCAGTGCAGCACGAACAGGACACCTGGGGACAGGTGCTGGCATTGTCACCATTGTCATCATCAACCTAATCATCATCATCATTATCATTGTCATCATCGACATCATCACCAGGCATCACCATCTGTCAACATCCACTAACACCATCCCCATCCATGCCCAGCCCAGCATCACAGCACAAATGGGACGCCTGGGGACAGTGGCATTGGCATTGTCACCATTGTCATCATCAACATCATCGTTGTCATCATTGTCATTGTCAATATCAACATCAACATCCATCAACATCATCACCCCCCGTGGCCATCCCAGCACCTTCCCGCAGCGCAGCACAAATGGGATGCGTGGGGACAGCGGCGTTGTTGGCATTGTCAATGCCATCATTGTCATCATTGTCATCACTAATATCAACATCACGATCCACATTATCATCATCATTGTCATCAACATCCATCAACATCACCATCCACATCATCATTGTGATCGTCATCATCAACATTGTCTTTGTCATCAATTCATCAACATCCATCCTCATCCATCCCCATCCATCACCAGCCCAGCAGCACAGCACAAATGGGACGCCTGGGGACAGCGGCATTGTTGGCATTGTCGGCATTGTCATCGTCAATATCATTGTCGTCAACATCATCATCCACATCGTCATCGTCATTGTCGTCATCGACATCATCATTACCATCAACATCCATCACCAGCACAGCACAAAAAGGATGCCTGGAGACACTAGCATCATTGGCATCGCTGGCATTGTCATCATCAATATCATCATTGACATCATTGGCATCGCTAACATCATCGTCATCAACATCCATCAACATCATCATCCACAACATCATCATCATTGACATCAACATCCATCACCATCCATATAATCATCATCATTGTCATTGTCAGCACTAACATCACTGACATCAACATCCATCACCATCCACATCATCATCATTTTCATCATCATCCACATTGTCAACATCCATCAACATCACCACAATCATCAGCATTGACCATCATAATCAATGTCATCAACGTCCAACAGCACTGTCATCATCATCAACATCCATGCACCAACATTGTCATTACTATCATCATCCACGTTGTCAAAATCCATCACCATCATCAACAATGTCACCACCATTATCAAAGTCATCAACATCCATTAATGTTATCACCATCATCACTACCATCATCATCCATCAGTGTCATCACAGTCCTCACCATCCATCATCACCACCACGCATCCCCATCCCAGCATGTTCCCGTAGTGCAGCACCAACGGCACAGCTGGGACACCATCAGCATTGTCACCACCACCATCATCATCATCATCGACCATTGCTTATCATCTCCATCATCATTCCAACCATCACCATCATGGTTAACATCTCTGTCATCCTCTGGTCATCAATGTCACCATTGTGGCCATTGCCATCATCAGCACCATCTCCTGGCCACCATCATCATCACTATCAGCAGCACCATCTCCTGGCCACCAGCAGCAGCAGCAGCAACAGCACCATCTCCTGGCCACCATCATCATCACTATCATCAGCACCATCTCCTGGCCACCATCATCACTGCCATCAACAGCACCATCTCCACAACCACCAGCATGAGCAGCAGCAGGACGGTCTCCATGGCCACCATCACCATCACCATCACTGGCACTATTTCCATCACCACCACTATCATCACCACAGCCACAAATATCATCACCATGGCAACTATCACCACCACCATCACAGCCATCACCATCAACCCCTCTCACCGTCCCAGCGCTCGTTGGCCACGCGCAGCACAGCGGTGGCGAAGGTGGGTGTGGTGGAGCCGGGGGGCACTGTGGGGTCGTCCAGGTAGCCCTTCTGTGCCTCGGGGGGGCCATCAGGGTTGCCCACATACTGGCCCAGCACTACGTCCTGCAGCTCCACTGGGCTGATGCACTTGAGCACCTTCACCTGTGGGACAGGTGAGGGACACCTGGTTATGGGGGCTCTGGTGAGACCACGGGGTGGGACTGTTTGGGGATGTGTTTATGGGGGCCACCAGTAAGAACAGGCAATGGGATGGGGGTGTGGGGGATGTGATCATTGTGGGGACATCAACAAGAAGGTACTGATAGGATGTGGTCTGGGACATGGGCACAGGAGTTGTGGCATTGGGGTCCACCGCTGATAACAGGATGACAGGACATGGTTGGGGACATGGTCAGTGACAACATGGCCAGGGGGAATGTGGTTTTGGGGGGCCAGTACCAATAATGGGGTGATGTAACAAAGTTGAGGATGTGGCCATGGGGAGGGTAGCTTTGGGGGCCACCATCAAGAACATGGTGGTGGGCTATGACTGGGGTGGGGGAATGTGGCCATAGGGAGACACAACCCTGGGGCCACCTGGGGATGGTGCCTGTGGCTGTGACCATGATGCGACCATCAGGGACATAAAGCTCAGTGACCACTGTGGTGTCAGGGGGTGGTGACGTTTTGGTGACACCCCAGTGTCCCTGCTGTCCTCACCTTCTCGTCACGGACATCGTCGGGGTTGGTGGACGCCGGCTTCTCCATGGCCACGAGGCAGAGCAGCTGCAGAAGGTGGTTCTGCATCACGTCCCTGTGGGGAGCCGGCGCTGCCACGGGGTCGGGGGACACGGAGGGATGTGGAGGGGACACGGGGACACCGGGGGATGTCCATCCTCACCGGATGATGCCAAAGTCGTCGAAGTAGCCGCCACGCCCCTCGGTGCCGAAGGGCTCCTTGAAGGTGAGCACCACGCAGGCGACGTTGTCGCGGTTCCAGATGGGCCCAAAGATGCGGTTGCCGAACCTGGAGTGGGTGAGGGATGGGTGAGGAGTGCTGTGCGTGTCCCCGTGTCCCCTCCCGTGTCCCCTGTCCCCTCCTGTGTCCCCGGCGCACCGCAGCACCATGAGGCTCTGCACCATCTCCTTGCCCAGATAGTGGTCCATGCAGTAGATCTACTCCTTGCGGAACAGGTGTGTCCCCATGTTCCCTCCCATGTCCCCTGTCCCCTCCCATGTCGCCTGTCCCCTCCCTGTCCCCGTGTCCCCTTCCACATCCCTGTCCCCAGTGCACCGCAGCACCATGAGGCTCTGCACCATCTCCTTGCCCGGACAGTGGTCCGTGTGGTAGATCTGCTCCTCGCACCTGTCCCCAGTGCACCACAGCACCATGAGGCTCTGCACCATCTCCTTGCCCGGACAGTGGTCTGTGTGGTAGATCTGCTCCTCACAGAACAGGTGTGTTCCCATGTCCCCTCCCATGCCGTCTGTCCCCTCCCTGTCCCCATGTCCCCTTCCATGTCCCTGTCCCCAGCGCACCGCAGCACCATGAGGCTCTGCACCATCTCCTTGCCCAGGTAATGGTCCATGCGGTAGATCTGCTCCTCGCGGAACAGCGCGCTCAGGTGCGCCGACAGCTCCTCCGATGAGCCCAGGTCCCGCCCAAACGGCTTCTCCACGATCACACGGTTCCACCTGGGGACAGGGACGCAGGGACATGAGGGCAGGGACAGGGGGACATGGGGGAATATGGAGACATGACAGACACGGACATAGGGGAACACGCAGAGACACAGGGGACACAGAACCTATGGGGACACAAGGAACATGGGGGACATGGAGACACATGAGACATAAGGAATGTAGGGACATGGGGGGACACGAGGACACAGGGGACACATGGGCACACAGGGACACATGGGGACATGGGGGGCCTCAGGATACACGGGGACACACAGGGATACAGAAGGTGTGGGGCTACACGAGAGCACAAGGACACAAGGGACATGGGGACACGGGGACACAAAAGGATACACAAGCAGCATGGGGACACACGGAACATGGGATATGGGGATCATGGGAATGTGCAGGGACACAGGGGAAATGGTCCCCATGTCCCCACTCACCCCTGGCCCCTGCACAGAGCCCTCAGGTGCTGTCACAGGTGTGTCCCCGTGTCCCCACTCACCCCTGGCCCATGCACAGAGCCCTCAGGTTCTGGGTCACAGGTGTGTACACGCTGGGGGGCAGTGCCAGGTAGAAGAGCCGGTGGGCGCGGTCGCCCCCGGGCAGCCCCCGCAGGTGAGTGTCCAGCGCCCGGAACGAGGCCTCGTCCGTGTACTGACCCCGCACGAAGCTCTGCAGGGACAGGAACGTGGCCAGGCGGGGCTCGTCCTCAGGGGTCACCTGTGGGGACACACGGGGACGGGTGAGACAGGGACAGGGGACAGGTGAGACAGGGACAGGTGAGACAGACAGGGGACAGGTGAGAATGGGAAAGGTGAGACAGACAGGGGACAGGTGAGACAGGGACAGGTGAGACAGACAGGGGACAGGGACAGGGGACCAGGGGACAGGTGAGACAGGGACAGGTGAGACAGGGACAGGGGACAGGTGAGACAGGGACAGGTGAGACAGGGACAGGGGACAGATGAGATAGGGACAGGGACAGGTGAGACAGGGACAGGGACAGGTGAGACAGGGATAGGTGACACAGGGACAGGGAACAGATGAGATAGGGAGAGGTGAGACGGGGACAGGTGAGACAGGGACAGGTAAGACAGGGAAGACAGAGACAAGGACAAGTGAGACAGGGACAGGTAAGACAGGGACAGGGGAGACAGGGACAGGGGGCAGGTGAGACAGGGACAGGGACAGGGGACAGGTGAGACAGGGACAAGAACGTGGCCAGGTGCGGCCCATCCTCAGAGGTCACCTATGGGGACACACAGGGACAGGTGAGACAGGAACAGGAACACAGCCAGACAGGGACTGTTCTTGGGGGTCATCTGTGGGGACAGGGAGGGACAGGGGACAGGTGAGACAGAGGACACAGGGACAGGGGACAGGTGAGACAAGGGACACAGGGACAGGGGACAGGTGAGACAGAAACAGGAATGCGGCCAAGTAGGCCCTGTTCTCAGGGACAGACCAGGACAGGGGACAGGTAGGACAGGAACATGGCCAAACAGGGCCTGTCTTCGGGGGTCACCTGGGGACAGGTGGGGCCAGGAAGGTTCAGGTGAGGTCAGGAGAGGTCAGGAGGGGACAGGAGGGGACAGCACTGTCACCTTGAGGTAGGGCAGGGTCTGCTCCCGGATGAGCTCCACGGTGAGGGGCGAGCGGGCGAAGCCGACGACGCGCGTGGCATCGGGGAGGAGCCCGTCCCGGAACAGCCACCTGGGAAAGGGACAGTGCTGTCACCTGTGCCACCTGTGCCACTATCAGTGTCCCCAAACCCTCCCAGGGACACCGGCATCGGGGAGGAGCCCGTCCCGGAACAGCCACCTGGGAAAGGGACAGTGCTGTCACCTGTGCCACCTGTGCCACTATCTGTGTCCCCAAACCCCCCCAGGGACACTGGCATCGGGGGGTGCCTGTCCCAGAAGAGCCACCTGGGGGACAGCACTGTCACCTGTGTCACCAAGCCCCTGGGGCCACCCCCAGCACTGTCACCACCCCCCTCTAGGGACAGCAGGGTAAGGTGACACCAGTGTCACCAACCCTCCCTCAGGACGGTGACACTGGTAATGGGGGCTCCTGTCCTCTTGTCACCCTGGGACAGGTAACAAAGGGACAGGTGACACAGGAGACAGGTGACACAGAGGTAACAGAAGCAGCAAAAGGAGGAACTGGGACACTAGGTCATACTGGGGACACCGGTGCCAGCTGGTGACACAAGTGGCCCTGGGGACAGCAGAGAAACACAGCTGTGGTGACAGTGGGGACAGAGCAGACAATGGCAGCACTGCTGACTGGTGGCACTGGAGACAGCACTGACTGACATTGGTGGCTCCGGGGACAACAGCGACCCCAGAGTGGCCCTGGTGGCCCTGGCAATATCAGTGACCCCAGTGACCCTGGGGACAGGTGGGGACATTGGTGACCCAGGGCCCATTGGTGACCCTGGTTGCCTGGGGGGCTATGGGGACATTGGTGATCCTGGTGACAGATTGAACCCAGGTGGCCTTGTCACACCATTGTTCCTATTGTCCCTTCAGTGTCCATACTCTCCCCAAGTGTCCCCTCGGTGTCCCTGCTGTCCCCAGGTGTCCCCATTGTCTCCTCAGTGTCCCCGTTGTCCCCATTGTCCCCTCAGTGTCCCCGCTGTCCCCAGGTGTCCCCAGGTGTCCCCGTACCAGATCGTGGGGTAAATCTTCTTCCTGGCCAGGTCGCCCTGTGGGGGAGGGGTCCTCAGGGGTGGGGGAGGGACGAGGCCAGCGCCAGGTGCGGCCCCGGCCCCTCCCCCACCCCCTGGAATGTGCTGAGTCAGCGCCGCCGCCCCTCCCCCCAGCCCCCCCAATTCCTCCCCAACCCCCTTCATTCCCCTCCAACCCCCCCAATTCCCCCCTAACCCCCTCCATTCCCTCTCCAGCCCCCCCAATTCCTCCACAAACCCCTTTATTCCTCCCCCAGACCCCTTCCTCGCCCCGTCCCCACTCACGGAGGCGCCGAGGATGACGAGGACATGCGGGTGGCCCTGCAGGAAGGCTCCGTCCCGGCTCAGCTCCTGCCGGAGCATCCCGCACACCTGCGAGCGGCTCAGCTCCCCCCCGGCGCCCGGCGCCTCCTCACCTGGGCCCGGCATCGCTCCTGGGGGCCGGACCGGGCACTTGGGGGGCAGGTTCGGGCACTTGGGGGGCCGGATCGGGCACTTGGGGTGCAGGTTCGGACACCCCGGGCAGGATTCGGGGAGCAGAGGAACAGGTTTGGGCACCCCAGGGCAGGATTTGAGGGGTTGTGGGGCAGGAACGGGAACCTGGGGGGCGGGTTGGGACA